AATTTACTCCGCACGGACTTCGCACACCATCAGGAGAGGCCAAGCCCAGACGGAGAAAGCCCAGATGGAGACCGTGCAGTCCGTGCGGACTCGGCATCCTCCGAGCAGCCGTGATACTGGATAGTCTCGCTTCGGGCCCCTATGATTACCACAAGGGATCGCCGCCCAGGACGATTCTGAGGGTCCGGTCGCGCCCAGAGCGCCCAGAGCGACGAAAGAAGAACGGCCTGCTAGGCCAAGTGGACGGTTCCTTCTCAGAGACCTATGACCACCACGATGCAACAGGCATCACGATGGGGCCCCTAAGGAAGTGTCGACGGGGCGGCGGAGGAGAAAGGAAGCAGCGCGGAGTACCGTGGCGCAGCTGTGAGCGACAGAAATCAGCCTTTGGCCGCGAAGAGCAGCAAGCAGCGGCGCTCACACTCTGACTCGCTCTCATTGAATCGGGCGCGGCGCGGTCCAACTCGGGTACTCACGAAGGGAATTCCGGGGATGTCCGCGTCGAGCAGCTTGCATCCGAAACGATCGGCCTGTTCTTGTGGCCACCTGGGGACATCCACGGCGACGTCGACACCACGTCGCAGGGACTTCGCAGTCGTCTCCAAAGGAGGCCCCTTCCCCGCGATCCCTTCCCCCCGGAGGGAGGGGGTCCAAGGGGCGTGAGTGAGGGAAGGGAGGCCCCCCCCCCAGCTGGTCAAAGAAATTAGGTCATCTGATCCCTGTCGTCGGCTCTTCAGAGATTCAAGCGTTCTCACCGCTTCGGTCGCCCGGAGGGCACAAGACGGGCCAGGAAGCCCTCGAGACTGGCCCGTGGTGACCCCGGAGCCCCGGCCCCCTAAGTGGGCCCCCCAGAAGGCCCCCACGAAGCTTCCAAATCAGGCGGCCGACCCGGGCGCGATTGAGGGATGTCCTTCCCATCCTCCTCCGCCCTGTCTCTCTCACCCCCCCGCTGAGATGCTGCTGCTCCTCCTCCCCCTGACTGACTGACGCAGCGCTGCGCGGCACTCCACCCCCGCGCTCGCGCGCGACCGAAGGGGGCGCGGCGAACGCGGCAGCGGTACCCCCGGGCGCTGCCGAGGGTAGTTTCCATGGAAGGGCAGAGGAGAGAGAGCAACCGTAACATTCACTGACGTGCTCCTCCTCCTCCTCCTCCTCCTCCTCCTCCTCCTCCTCCTCCTCCTCCTCACGTGGATTCGCGGTGTTGAAGTCCCAGGAACCTTGTTCGGGCACGATTTAGAATTGTCAGGACGCAACAATCACGTTGATCTGCAGCGTTGAAATCCCAGGAACGTTGTGATGGCACGATTGACACTTTCCAGACGGTTGTCTTCTAATGAGCAACTTCCCGCAATGAAAGTACATCTCTTTAGGGCCATATGAAGAGGAACTTTGAGGGAGGGATGGTGTAACATCGTGGACGCACATTTGGTTTGCACTTTTCCTCCTCCTTTTCCTTGGCAGGCCGCAGAGCGAAGCAAAGCGTCAACGACAATGACCTCTTCCTCCTCCTGCTCTTAATAGGTGGCGACATCCGAACTCTACCCCCGACAATCATCGATTCTCCTGACTCGATGGAAGGTGGGGGGATAGTGTTCGGATTCCGGCACGCTCTCGCCGAATCCCCAACCCTACCCTAGCCGCCCCTCGAGTGGCCTGAATCGTTGATCGGCGAGGGAAGGGTTCGGATTTCGCTGCCGACTTCAACAAGCCGCAGAGATATAAGAAAAAATCAGTATCAACATTAACTTTTGGCGCTCCTCGCGAATCTCTTGGATCCGCGCTGGACCCCCTCCCTGGCGCGCGGGGTGCGCCAGGGGGGGGCCCAACGCGGATCCAAGAAACCCGTGCGGAGCAACAGAAGTTTTGTCTCTGCCTCTGTTTTTCCCCTTCGAAGAGCGAAGGCTCCCAGCGACAGTCCTCCTGGTCCTCCTCTCCTCCTCCACCCTGTATTCCTCCTCCTCCTCCTCCTCCTCCTCCTCCTCCTCCTCGTCCTCCTCCTCCTCCTCCTCCTCCTCCTCCTCCTCCCATCCTCCCTCCTCCTCCCTCCTCCCTCCTCCTCCTCCTCCCTCCTCCTCCTCCTCCTCCTCCTCCTCCTCCTCCTCCTCCTCCTCCTCCGCCCTCCTCCTCCTCCTCCGGGGCCTCCTCCCCGTCCTCCCCCCTCCTCCTCCCCTCCTCCTCCTCCTCCTCCTCCTCCTCTCTCCTCCTCCTCCTCCCGCGTGGGGCACGGGCGGAGGCAGGCCGAGCGCCCCGAGGGAGGGAGGGGGGGCGCCCCGCGCCGCGCGCCGGCCCCTCCGCCCAGAGGGGGGCCCAGGGGCGCGCAGAGGAGCAGCCACAAAGCCCGCGAGGAGGAGGAGGAGGAGGAGGAGGAGGAGGAGGAGGATGAGGAGGAGGAGGAGGCTGACGACGAGGATCCACAATCGAGGATCGAAATGGAGAGGATGAGGAGGATGATACGGAGGAGGAGGATCAACGATCGAGGATCGGAGGGGTGAGGAGGGAGGAGGAGGAGGAGGAGGAGGATGAGGAGGAGGAGGAGGAGGAGGAGGGACGAGGAGGAGGAGGAGGAGCAGGAGGAGGAGAAGGCGGAGGAGGAGGACCCCGCACAGCGTCCCCAAACTTTCGGGGTTTCCGTCGCCCCGCCGCTTCCCGGATTGTTTTCCCCTATGTTCGGTGGGAGCGACGAGTCATTGTGTCTGTGTGTTTTTGTCCCCTCCTGATGAGACGCAGCCAAGGACGCAGACGACATCGGGCGAGGGTACATTGAGAATCGCTGAGATTTTCGGCGGCTCTCGAGGATATCTCGGGCGCCGCGGCCTTCTCTAACAGAAGAAACATCTCCGTAAACATCAACTTGTGGCGCTCCGCCTGGACCCCCCTCCCTGGCGCGCGGAGTGCGCCAGGGGCGGCGCCGGAGGCGCCGCCAGGGGGGGCCCACCGCGGATCCAAGAAATCCGCGCGGAGCGCCCAAAAGTTTGTGTTCATGGCTGTTCTTCTCCTTCGAGGCCCTCGAAGACGTACCGGGCGCCGTAGCCTCTTCAGAGAGCGACCGCTCTGGAACGGATTTGATCCTGGCCCCAGCCCCTCAGGGCCCCGTAGACCCGGACACCCAACATCCCTCCAAACCAATTTTCCCAAACGGCGGCACGAACAAATACTGCACTGCGGCATTTCCAGAATAAGCCCGGACACAGGCCACAAAAGCCTGCAAGACCCCCCCTAGCCCGGACACACATAAACCTGAACCCTGCAGTGCAGCGGGCAGAACGTGCACGGGTGCTGGAACACGTGACTCTGCAGGAAAGGACGTCGCTTCCTCAGTCTTCCGTGTCCTGGTTGATCTGCGTCCTGGTCTCCTCCTCCTCCTCCTCCTCCTCCTCCTCTCCGGGGGCCTCCTCCCCGTCCTCCACGTCCTCCTCCTCCTCCTCCTCCTCCTCCTCCTCCTCCTCCTCCTCCTCCTCATCCTCCCTCCTCCCTCCCCCTCTCCTCCTCCTCCTCCTCCTCCTCCTCCCCGTCCTCCTCCTCCTCCTCCTCCTCCTCCTCCTCCTCGTCCGACATTCCCCCTCCCGGGCGCGGCGCGGGCGCGGGGCCTCTGCCGCGCCGAGCGCCCGGCGGCGTGCGCTCCCGGCGGCGGCACGTCTTCATCCTGGCGCCCCGCCGCCCCAGCGCCGGCAAGTCGGGGATGCAGTGGGGGAGCGAGGAGCATCCTCCTCCTCGTCCTCCTCGTCATCGTCATCCTCCTCCTCCTCCTCCTCCTCCTCTCCAATCCTCCCTCTGCTCCTTCTCCTCCTCCTCTCTCTCCTTCCTCCTTCTCCTCCTCCTCCTGCTCTCCTCCTCCTCCTCCTCCTCCTCTCCTCCTCCTCCTCCTCCTCCTCTCACCCCCTCCTCCTCCTCCTCCTCTCCTCCTCCCTCCTCCTCCTCCTCCTCCTCCTCCTCCTCCTCCTCCCTCCTCCTCCTCCCTCCTCTCTCCTCCTCCTTCTCCTCCCCTCCTCCTCCTGTTCTTCCTCCTCCTCCTCCTCTTCTTCCTCCTCCTCCTCTCCTCCTCCTCTCCTCCTGCTCCTGCTCCTCTTTCTCCCCCTCCTCCTCCTCTTCCTCCTCCCTTTCTGCCAAGAAACTTTCCACAAGAAACCCAACACTGAGACCCCAGGACGTCCATTGATTGTTGGTGTGGGAACGTCAATCTTTCCATAGAAGAACCATCGAAACCCTGGAGGAAAGCAGGGCGTTTCTGGTGTTCCTTGGCATGGGCCTCCACTGTTAAGGAGGCGCGGCAAGGATGCGAGGTCCTGGAGTGTCATGCTGGCGTTTTCGACCGGTGCTGGCCAGCGAAAGTCGCCAAGGATGGGTCGAAGGGGCCAGGGGCCATGGTGCATGGGTGGCCTTGGAAAGCTGCTCATCCTTACTGTGCGACTTGGCTGCACGCGACGCGCAACCCACAGCGTGCTGACACCGAGCTCAACGCGCAGATTGAAAATGCACTTCTTCGCGGTGCTTTCGCCGAGACATCGGTCAACGCGTGCCGAGATGACACGCGGCGTGATGACACGGACGTCTTGAACACGGTACGTGTTGCGTTGCAAACGGGCGTATCAGGGCAGCTAAGGCTTGGCGCGTCTTGGGCTCATCATGGGCGGCGAGCGTGTCTACACCCATGCCCTGGCGATGTGGGCTCAAGGGCGCGACCCCGTGGATAAGTACGACCGGTTGCAATGGATACGTTCCGCGCGGGGCATCCGCGAATACACGCCCCGCATCTACAAGGTCGCGGCCCAGCGGCCCAGCCCGCGAAGCCGTGGATACGGATATGGTTCCCGCCCGAGTCCAAAGAGGGAGATGAGGGGGAGTGGTACGGGAAGAGCTGGGAGGAGGGAGCCCAGAAAGGAAGACAGAGAGGGAGGGATGACGATGAGGGAGGGAGGCGCGTCGGGAGGACAAGGCGAGGGACGAGGAGGACGGAAAGGGGGGGGGTATGGCGAGAAGGTTCGCATCGCGAACCGAAGCTGTTTTGCAGGCGCCTTCGGCGTCTAGCCTCTCACACAGCGTGGTATTTTCCACAAGCTGTCCGTGCAACTGCTATCGTGTGTGCGAGAGGAGGGAAGAAGAAGGGATACTATCCTGCACCTTCTCCTACTCCTCCTCCTTTTTCGCCTCCTCCTCCCCATCATCACCGTCACCATCGTCAACAACAGCACCAACCTTATCATCATCGTCGTCATCATCATCCGCACCATCATCATCGTCGTCATCATCAGCATCGTCAGCATGACGATGATGATGATCATCAGCATCATGATCATCACAATCAACTGCATCACCACCATTGGACAATTATCATCAGCATCGCCATCGCAATCATCACCACCATCACCATGACTATGACCATTACCATGAGCATGACCATGACAATTACCATCTCCATCACTAACCTCATCTACATCAGCATCAGCATCATCACCAGCATCACATTCGATATCATCATCATCCTCATCAGCAGCATCAGCATCAGCATCAACTAATCATCAGCATCAGCAACAGTAACGTCATTATCATCATCAGCATCATTTCCATCATTATCAACACCATCATCATCATCAGCATCATCATGATCATGATCCTGTGCCCGAGTCATACATCTGCACCAGAAGCAACCTCATCACCATCATCATAATACATCAACGGCAATGATCTTGTGTCCAATCCGGGGAACTGGAGAATGCATGCTCCTCCGTCCGGTGTCCCTCCTGGTCCTCCTCTTTGGGTGTGTGTGTGTGGTCTGCGCCGCGGCTGATGCTAAACAAAAACTTCCTCCTCCTACCCTTCTTTCTCTCTCGCTCTCTTTCCCTCGAGCCTCATTCTTGGGGAGACGGACAGCTTACTGCTCAACCTCCAGCTCCACAAGTCTAGGCCTCCGACTACTCCAGGGAGCGCCTACTCCAACCGACGCCTCCCTCTCTCCTCCCTCCCGACCTCCCTTCTTCCCCCTCACTCCTCTATTGGTTCCTGCTTTACGCTTTCTCCTCCTTCTGCACCTCCTCCTCCTCCTCCTCCTCCTCCTCCTCCTCCTCCTCCTCCTCCCCCTCCTCCCCCTCCTCCCCCCCTCCTCCTCACAGAAGCAATGGGGGAACTTGGGTGCAATGCACTGCGCCCGCGGCCGCGGCGGAGTGCCGTTAATTCCGTGAGCGAGCCGGTCCGCCAAGAGAACCTGTTGAACTCGAGGCTGGGCTTAGGTCGGGCGTGTCCCCCTACAGGAGGAATATTCAAAAATAGTCCGGAAGTCATGTGAGGACGATTGGTTGACTGGTCTTGACCATGCTTGCATATGTTTGATATCTTCGGCAGAAAATCTGCCTGTAGGGGGACATGCCCGACCCAAGGCTGGGCGAGCACGCCCCGTCCTGCTCAGATCTGCAGGGAGAGCATGCAGGCGTCGGCCAGGTACTCCATCGCCTGGGCCGAGGGCGCCCGGCCCGCGCTGCCCTCCTCCTCCCAGGGCTCCGGGATCTTGTTGTGCCTGGCCACCGCCGAGGACTTGCTGCTGCCGGCGCGGCTGCACGCCGAGGGCAGCCGCACCCTCGGGGCGCTGCCGCTCGGGTCCGGGTCCGAGGCCCTCCCGGCCGTCTCGGCGCTGACGAGGCTGTCGCTGTCGGAGTCGCTGGGCACGTCGCGGCGGCGCTGCGGGCGGTCGTCGAAGACCTCCAGGATCTCCTCGTCGCCCGCCCGCTCGAAAGTGCCGGTGAGAAATCCTTCGGGCTGCTGTGGTTCGACCTCGGGCTCGGCGGCCTGCGGCTCCACCTCCGGAGGCTCACGGGACGCCCAGCCCTCGCCCTCTGCGTGCGCGCGGCTCAGGTGCCTCCACCAGAGCATCGCGACCACGAGCACACAGAACATGGTCACGGCACAGGCACCCAGGCTGGCGACGAAGAAGAGCACCCTCTCGTCCAGGGCGTTGATGCCACTGACGGCGGCGTCGTAGTTCATGGTCACCGTGGTGTGGGTCGCTGTGAGCGAGGTACCCGTCTGCGTGGTCGATGTTAGCGAGGTCTCTGTGGTGGCTTGCCTTCCGATGGTCGTGGTGAACAGGCGCGGTGCTCTGGTCACCTCCACGGCCTCGAGGTCCAGCCCGGAGCTCCTGATTGAGCAGGGACCGACCGTCCCGGCATTCCTATAGGCCTACCACGAAATATTCTTAGAACCCCAAAATGCTCTAAGACCAAAAACAAGGTTCTTGGAACATAAGCCCGATGTGTTAAAACAAATCAGTCCCAGCCAGAATTTGTCTAAGAACATCTCGTGGAAACCACGAAAGGTTCTTGGAGCACTGTCTGGTAGGCCTATAAGCGAGCCGGGACGCTTCGCCACTGCTCGACCTGAGGAACTCCGCCCGCAGGGCGGCCTGCGGGCTTGCCGCCAGAGCCAGCAGGGCATCCGCGTCGGCCGCTCGCGCGATGATCAGCTCGTACGCGACCAGCACGCTGGAGTCAGGTCGGGCACGCCCCCCACAGGCGGAGCTTAGACGAAAGATCACAAAAATAGTCGAAACGTGCTCCAAAACGGTGAGAAGCGTAGTCGAAAATTATCGTCTCCAGACTGTTTTTTCTTATACTATTTTTGAACATCTTGGACGCCCGAAATGGGCACAGAAACAATGGGCACAATGCCCAACGGCAAATGTTGTCCCGAACCAACAGCGGCCGCTGTTGGGCAGGCGGCCTCCTGTCTCGAATGGACACGGGCCGCGGCGGCGCGGACGGCGAGCCCTGTTCAAAATGGACAGGATCCGCTGTTTGTCATTGTTCGGTAGCCGGGCAAGGGATGCTAAATCCGTGGCTGCTAAAATCAATCTCCGGGAAGTTGTCTTCGTCCTTCCGGGAAGAAGCCCAGTGACTGTTTCGCGTACCGCGCCTCATTCCGGGAAGTTGTTTTTTCCTTCCGGGAGGGCCGTTTTAGCAGCCACGGTTTTAGCAGCCCTCGCCCAGCTCCCGAACTGTACCCACTCTTTCCGTGCCCATTTCGCTGGTGCAGAAACGCTCCTCCTGCAGAGGGACGTGCCCCAAAACCGTGAGAAGAGCAGTCAAACAAAAAAGTCGTCCCCAGACTGCCTTTTTGACTGGTTTTGCAAGGGCTCCCAATTTCGCGCTTCGCGCTCCGCGAAGCGCGAAGCGCGAATACCTTCGCGCTCTCGCGCCGACCCCCGGAGGGAAAAAAGAGGACGAGGAGGAGGGGGAGAAGGAACGAGGACCACAAAGCGCGAAGCGCGACTAACTTCGCGCCCTCGTGGGAGCCCTTGTTTTGAGCACTCCTCCTGCAGAGGGACGTGCCCGACTCAACGCTGGAGCGGCCGGCCGCTCCCCGCGGAGCTGCCTCGCCGAGCCGCCGCGTGGCGCCCCCGTCGGAGACCGCGAGCCTCGCGAGCTCCGAGGGCTCCACGCCGAAGGCCGCGGCGAGCACCCCCCGCCACAGGGCGGCCGAGCCGGCGTCGATGCCGCCGGCGGCGGAGCCGTCCAGCGTGGCGCGCACGGCCGACGTGAGCGCGTTGGTCTCCTCCGCTTATGCTGCCCCGATGCGCCGCACGCAACACGTGGCGAGTTTTGCTACGGAGCTCGACACGTGGACTGGTTAAACGCAGGTCCGACGCGATGCGTTGGCCAAAACGTGGGCCAAGACGTGGAGCCAACACGCAACGCATCGACACGGACGTACTGAACACGGGACGTGCTGCGATTCAATACGGGCGTATCGAGACAACTGAGCTCCTCCGCTGAGATGTTCCCCGCCAGCCAGAAGCACTCGGAGACACCGACGGTGACGCCGTCCAGGCACGAGAAGGAGCCCACCGCGATCATGTCATCGGGGCAGGCGGCCCAGCAGCGCTCCCCGCTGGCCAGGTTTGCGGTGCAGTTGCTGGGGCCGCCAGCTTCATCCAGCGCGTTGCAAGTGGCCTCCGCCAGAGTAGCATCGTCAAGTTTCGCAGCAAGCTGCAGCTGGAGGTCGATCGTACTTCGGAGCGGCAGCCCGAACTCGCCCAGGGCGAACTCCAGGCCACAGCGGTCCACGCAGCAGGCGCTGGTGTCAAAGTCGTTGGGGGCACAACCAGTGCAGACTGAACCGCAAGGGCATGCAGTTGTGTTGCTCCAGTCGCAATATATGTGGGTCGACGTTGTCGAGGTGGTCGTACTGGTTGTACTTCTGGTCGAGCTGGTCGTGCTGGTCGTGGTGGTCGACAGCGATGTACGCGTGATGGTGTCCGACTTCGTGGTGGCCGACATTGTAAACGTCGAGGTGACACACCCCTTGTCCATGCACGTGCAACACCAACTCTTCTTAGGGTTGGACCATCCAAACTCCGCAGTTTCCAACCCTGCATCGCAATCATACAAAGGGCACCCGTAACCACTGTTCCTGCAACACCACTCAAGCTCCACCATGCTCCACAGCGTGCATGCACTCTCCTGGTCCATGGCTGACTGGCAGCCCGACTCTACGGTGAAACTGCTCGTGGAAACAGTGGAGGTGGTAACTGACGTTGTGGTCATGGTTTGGGACACGCTCGTCGAGGAAGAGGCGCTCGTCGTGGAGACGGTCGTGATTGATGTTGCAGTCCGGCTTGTAAGCGTTTCTGTCACAACCGTGGAAGTGGCCGTCTCCGTCGGGCATCCCATGCCTTCGTTCTCGCAGCACCACTGTAGCTTCCAACCAGACCAAGCTGTGGCGAGATCTTCAAAATCGGCTGTGCAGTCAAACGGGCCGCCGAAGGGTGTGGTCGAGGTGGTCGTGGTGGTCGAGGTCGAAGTCGTGGTCCTTGTAGTGGTCACTGTCGTAGACGTCGTGGTGCTAAGCGTGCTTGTTGTGCGGGTGGTGGTGCTGGAGGTGGACGTCGATGATGTGGCCGATGTAGTGGAAGTGGTGGACGAGGTGGTGGTTTCGCAGCATTGCATCTGGTCTGGTGGCTCGCAGGCTTGCGCGGAGGGTAACATGGAACTGGGCCTCATGCTCAGGCCGCTGGGGCACGCTTCGCTGGAGCAGGCGTAGCACTGCATGGACTCCAGCGCGGGGCCCACCCACGAAGGCACGGCGGGGATCCCCCGCAGCCGCGCCCGCAGCTCGCCGCGGAGCAGTTCGGGGTCCCCAGGCAGCCCGAACAGCTCGAGCACGCCCTCCACTGTGGTCGGCTCGGCGCCCTGGGAGCTCACGCGGCGCAAGGGCGCGCCACCCGGAGCGCCGCCGTATGCGGCAGACTCTGCCGCTGCCAGAAGCAGGAGAAGCCGCAAGGTCGCGGCCCCCATGCCGCCATGGCGGGGCTGCAGCTGCATCGCGACTCGCAGCTGCGCTGAAGCCAAAAGGGGTACAGAGGAGGCGGGGAGGCGCGAGGGCTGCGACGGGGCAGCCTCGAGCAGCGCGACGACCAGCCACGTCCGCCGCAAGGACCCCTCTTGAGGGCCTGTGCGCTTTCCATCACGCTTCGCCAGCTTGCGCCGCCAAAGTCGCCACTGCTTTCGTTCTGCCAACTCGGGGACCTTCTGACCCGGGTCAAGCCAGACCCGGGTCAGCAGGAAACCAAAAACTGCAATGCAGGAAACAAAAAAAAAAACGCAACGCAGGTCTTCGCAAACCCGGGTCAGCCAATATGCGCGGCCGCCTCGCGGCCACAAGCGGCTCGCTAACCCGGGTCAGCCAGAGGGGGTCTTCGCAGGATCCTGCAGGATCCGGTGCCGTCGCTGACCCCCGTTTGCATTGACCCCCGTCTCAAGGCTCCCGACCAACCTCCGCGGGCCTTCCGCCGGCCTCGGCCGAGCCGCGGGGAGAGAACCGCCGACGCCCAGCTCCCCGGACGCCTTCGCGTGGCCTCCGCCGATCTCCCGGTGGCTCCCACGTCGCCCCGCGCCCGCAGAGGTGCGTGCCGCGCACGGGCAGGCGCTGGCACGAAGTGCGCGCGCAGCTCTTGAGGGTACACGGTCTGCGGCCCAGTTGGAAACACCACACCTGCGTCTCTCTGGCGCTGAGCTCCAGCCCCAGAGGCTCTGGGCGCTCTCCCAAGCGGTGGAGTTGAGCGGGGACCGACCGTCCCGGCATTCCTATAGTCCTACCACGAAGCGTTTTTAGAACCTACAAATGTTCGAATAACGAAAACAATGTTCTTAGAACAGAAGCCCGATGTGATACAACAAGACAGGCTCCGCCAGAAAGGTTCGAAGAACATTCCGCGGACACCACAGCAGATTCTTAGAACCCTCTTCGGTAGGCCTCTGGGCGAGCCAGGACGCCTCGCCACTGCTTGATCTTGAGGGTGCACAGGTCTGCACGGCCTGCGGCCCGCTTGGAAACACCACGCCTGCGTCTCTCCGGCGCGGAGCTCCAGCCCCAGAGGCTCCGGGCGCTCTCCCAGGCGGTGGAGGGTGGCCGTGGCGAGCCGCGGGGGGGGGGGGGGGGCACCCGCACGCCGGCGGGACCACCCTGCTCGGCGAGGAGGTGGCTCCTGGGACAGCGGCGGGGCGGTCTGCTGCCGTGCGCAGAGCGCTCGCGGTCTTCGCCCCGGTGCTATACCCAGCCGCCTCGCCACCAGTGCCAGGGCGCCGCCTCGCCCTCTCGCTCCCTCGCTCCCTCGCCCCTCTCGCTCTCTCTCTCGCTCGGGCTCTCCCTCCCTCCCTCCCTCTCTCCCTCCCTCCATCCCTCTCTCCCTCTCTCCAGCTTTTTGTTCCTTGTTCCTCTCTCTCTCTATTATATCTCTCTTTTATCTCTCTCTTCTCTCTCTCTCTCTGTCTCTCTCTCTCTCTCTTCTCTCTCTCTCTCCCTCGTTGTCGCTCATGTCCCTTCGTCGCGGGCCCCTCGGGGAACAGACGACGTCGGCGCGCGGGACCCTGCGAGAGCGGGCAACGAGCGCTGGTGGAGCTCGGGCCGATATCGGCACGAGCTCCACTCCACTCAACGAAGGCGGGCAGCGCGAGGGATCTGGCCCTCTCCAAGGACCGAACCTCGCGGACGCCGGAGATCTGCCGAGCGCTTCGCCAACGCCCACATGCCTCGGGCCGATATCGGGAATGCAGCCGGCCCGTACCACAAGGATGCGCCAGAAGGACGCAAGGGCCTCTGACGTCCATCCCGAAGCCTATCGAGCGGAGCGCGGCCAACGAAAGCGGCCAAGGATGGACCGAGGAGGCATTGACGCAAGGGTGCCCTCGGGAAGGATGCCCGTCCTTACTATGCGGGTTCACTGTAACTGCCTAGAGGAGAGCGAAGAGGCCAGAGAAGACGACGCGGAGAAAGATGAAGAGGGCATTCGGATTCTTCCGTTCGCCCGCGCCCTCCTCAGAGTCATCCCCCTCCTCCAGGATATCTTCGCTGCGAGTCTCTCTCACGCCCAAGAAGGTCGGGAGAGCGAACCGATATCCTCTCACTGTGGGCCCTCCGCCGTGTGCAGGAAAGACGGGAGGGCGCAGGACTCGCTCTTTTCCCCCTCTCCTCCTCACTGGCCATCGCTCGGACGTCCATTCCCTGTGTCTTTTTCGGTTTCGTGCGTGGCTTTCCCGCCAAATGATCAAGGATGCTCCTCGATGTTACTCGCCGAAGGAGAAATGCACACGTCCGAGCGAGGCCAGGCCCCTCGAGGACCCGCTTACTGCGCCCCCTCGGACCTCTCCCGCGCGCCGGCCGAACTGCAGGTTTTTCACGATCCGCGCCCGGTGGTGGCCACGAGAGGCCCCCAAGCTGGTGAGACACCTGGCGCTGAATACCGTCGGGGCGTTGACCTAAGGAACACTAAATAAGGAACGAGGCCCCTTTTTTTCCATAAGTTAACCTTCGATTTCCTGCCGAAAGCATGAGGAAAGCCTGAGGCAAGCTGTGAAACACTTAAGGAACGCGGAGCCCCTCCCCAACGAAAAGGGTTCCTTATTCAGGGCCCCGACTGTCGGCCAAGTATCCCCCGTCCCTGTCCAGGAGTCAGCCCTCCCACGCGGGAGAGAATGAGGAGAGACGCCCGACGGAGCCGCGAACCCGTCCTTGGAGTTCAAATGGACATGTCTTGCAAGAAAGGCGACGACGGTGTGGTGGGGAGGAGGAGGAGGAGGAGGAGGAGGAGGAGGAGGAGGAGGAGGAGGAGGCGGAGGCGGAGGAGGAGGAGGAGGCGGAGGAGGAAGAAAAGGTGGCGGAGGAGAGGGCGAAGGAGGAGAAGGAGGAGGAGGAGGAGGAGCAAGAGCAGGGGGATCCCAGCAAACCGTCCCATGTTGGTTCCCATGCTGTCAGTCCCCCTCGGCATACCGTGTCGGCAGCCTCGAGGGAAAGGAATGAGGGGCACGAGAAAGAGGAGGAACGAGCGAACCAGGAGGGGAAAGAATGGATGAGGAGAGGACCGCGGGGACGAAAGGGTAGGATAGCAAAGGGCAGGGTGGAGAATCAGCTGACGTAGCTGGTTTTCCTAGCGCCTCCTGGCGCCCGTGTATCGAGGAATGGGCCCGGCGGCGGGGTGGAGACCGGCTGCATGCAGCAGATTTTGTAGTCCCCCCTTTCCCCATCACCCCTTCCGTGCGGCCCGAGAGGAGCGGCAGGAGTGAGGGTGCGGGCGCAGACGGAGGGCGGGATAAAACGAGCAGGGGTGGAGAGAAAAGCACGGAGAAGGGAAAGGCCGAAGAAGAAACAATGTGGACGAGAGGGCGGAGCAAGCAGAGCAAGGCCTGAGGAACTGGACGAGGGAAGGCGAGTGGAGAAGAAAACAAAGGGAGGAGTTAAGTACCAGGAGGGGAACTGGAAGGACGAATAAAGGACGGGAGAGAAAAGAAACATGATGTGAATTCCATATGTCCGTCTTGCTTATTTCCGTGGTAGGTAGTGTGGACCCAAATCAGTTACTGATTCCACTCTCCACTATGGATGTGTAAGCTTTGTGGTGCAAGCTAGGTGGTGCAATGTGTGGAATGCAAGCTATGCGGTGCAAGCTATGTGGTGCAAGGTTTGCGGTGCTATCTACGTTGTGCAACATGACGTGATGCAAGCAGTGCGGTCCAACATATGGACTGCAAGCTACGTGATAGGTGGTGCAATCTCTGTGGTGCAATCTGTGTGGTGCAATCCAACATATGGACTGCAAGCTACGTGCCATGTGGTGCAAGCTAGGTGGTGCAATCTGTGTGGTGCAAACTATGTGGCGCAAGCTCGGCGGTGTATGCTGTGTGGTGCAGGCTAAGCAGTGCGGTGCACCCAGTGTCGCGGAATCTACGCCACGTGGTGAAGCCCCCGTGGTACAAAGCATGCGGTGCAAGCTCTGTGGTGCCACCGACGTGGTGCGAGCTGCGCGGTGTGAGCTGTGGTGCGGCGAGGGGCGGGAACGGGGCCGCCCGGCCCGCAGACGAGCCTGTCTGTCGGGAAGGATGGGGCGGCGACGAACGGGGACGGGGCCACAGGGCCAGCAGACGGGCCCGGTGCCCGACAGTCGGCTAGACGTAGGAGTGACCCCTGGGTACGAGTGACCTTTGGCGCGCAGCTTTTAGGGGCGCGAGGGAGCCAAACCCAAGGGCGCGGGCCGCTTCTATCGCATCGCGCTCGCGATCGGGGGGAGCCCGATGAGCCCGCACCAAAGGTCACTCCGGCGAAGGGTCACTCTTACGTGTAGTCGAGATGAGAGAGGTAAGAACCCCTCAGTGCAAACACTGCTGGGGGAATATGAGCGAAGGAGAGAAGTAGGGCTCATCGAGAGAACGAGGGGAAGTGACGAGGACAGCGGGAGACGACGGAAAGCCTCTTGAGGCCTCGTCGGAGCCTCCTGGTGCGTACTAGGGCGTTTTCTCGGGGCCTCTTGGGGGGCCCTCTTGAAAAATGTCGGGGGGCCCTGTGGGGGCATTATGGGGCCCCTTGGAACAGCTTGGCCTCTCGGGGCCCTCTTGCAGGCATCAACGATTATGGCACTGTGTGGCCAGGTCCAGTTGTTTTGCGTGATCGATGTAGTTTTGGGATGGCCAGGCTTAAGTTGGCGATGGCCAGGACTACATCTGCGATTGCCAGGTTTTTTCCCAGCGTTCCTGCGGTCTTGGGTCCTTGTTTCGAATCCGCAACACCCCGCACCCCCCACCCTCCCGTTTTGCCTCCTCGCCTCCGCATGCCACCCCCCCTGCCTGTGCACTCCGCATGGCACACACCTCACACGTTGGTTGGCCCCATAGGCAGCTCCGCCGAACGCCCCAGTGGAACCCATCTGCTTCCGCGCCCATTTCTGCACACCAATAACACGTTTCGTGGCTCAATAGAGAGCTCAACCGAAGGCCCCAATGGTAACGTCCGCATGCTGCTGCGCCCATTTAGGGACGGCCATCACACGTCTCGTGTGCGGCAAATTCTTGCCTTCTCGACCT